TTACAGCTGGTAAGAGTAGGGGAGGTAGGATGAGAACACTGACGGTAGAAGAGGCTTTAGAGAGCAAGAACCACATACCAGTTAAAACGTAACGCATTTGTTGTACACGATCTAATGACTCTTTTATGTTTCATTCGACGAGAAGGGTAGGTGCATGATAGGGATTGTTAAAGGTTGCTAAATTATAAGGAAATGAAAATTGGTCCATTTTTTGCTACTGGGCTGCTCAAGCAAAGTTTGTGACTCAATGAACGGTTTTTCTTTGTTTCGGTATCATTCTAGAGAAAACTTATCTGACCACTAATAATCTTGGGTTCTCATCTAATAACATATCCGCAGATAATGGAAGCTTCGTTGATAAAGACATTCGAAAATGGTGTTACTATGACTCGACAACATTTGTGAGTATCATCCAAGGCTTTGGTTGCCCCCCAGTTGAACCTTCAGTGAGTCATTATTTTTAAGATGAACAGCAACAGATCAGATCGAGACCTTTAATCATAGGCATAGGCATCAGCGCAATTTGAATACCATTTGCACGCCCTGTTGGTCCTCCGTCTCATTCCGCCTCCGAAAAAGTATCATTTGTTAAGAAGAAGAAGTGGGCCAGTTAGCCGATTCTTAAAACTCCATCATAGGAAGAAGGGAAACCCGGCGTTAGCCGGGCGGCTCGACTGGTAAACATGACAATATGATAAATGACATCTACGTGACAGCGCTACAGTTGTTTTTCTTGACATTGTTGAACAAGCTGCACTGCGGTCGCTGTGCTGGTCTACAGACTCCGGCAGTTGAGAAGGTGGGGACGTTATTGTGAAACATAGAGAATTAGTATAACAAAGGAGGAAAATGTGCGAGGGGCAACGAATGCATGCCTCTCATGTTTCTCCTTCATTGCCTCTCTTTGTCAATCTGCTCCGTCTTTGGGGTAATTCCATGGTTGGGATTCTTGTGGATTTGGGTAGCGGGTCGATGTTGCTACCTCACTCGATAATCATATTGATTTATCAGACCTATTGTCTAGATGGCTTATTCATAGAGTTTGAATCGTTAAAAAAAGCAATTTCTTTTTTTTTAAACAGTAAAAATGCAAGTGTTTGGATAAATATTAGCTGCAAGCAGTTATTTCCTGAATAGAACAGAATGTGTTCGGAATTCGTTTTATTATCCCGCCTTTCTCAAGTATGTAATTCGGAGAACAGCAATACAGCAATCAATCAAAGTAAGCCATGTTAGTGTCTCGAAGATAACCCAACTACGAGATCGCAGCCTTGCAGGGGCGGGTGTGTACACCATCGAACTGATTACCTTCGAACTTAATCTCTTCTGTCTAATTACGAACATGAGGAGCTGGCTCGGAGATGCCGCAAGAATAAGCTGGTATACTTCAACACTTTAATTGCTTCATAAAAAATTCTGTAAACTCCGCGTAAAGCCAAAAACATGAACGGCGGGTGGTTAGACAGCTGTTTGAACATTTCTCCATTGATAGATTGTTAATAGTAGCTAAAGTTGAGCATTTTTTGCCTTTGTTTTTTTTTTGCTGATAGACCACTACTATGATGTTGAGGTTAGAGGTACGTGTTAGTATCTTGTTGATATTATCGCTAAACAGGCTGAGATAAATACAATTTCCTACAGATGTGATATCAAAATACCCACGATTGATAAATTTGTGTTCATGATGAGCAAAACAACTATTGAGCTTGCTAATTGATTCACAGCACGTTAAAGATATGGGCATTGCCTTCGACGCCCTGAAATCCCTTGCAAATACTCTATGCATGCGTTGGACTTCAGTGGTCTAATTTGCTGTCTAGTGGCCCGCTGGTACACTTTGAGTTCCTTAGGGACGGTTCTACAGGGTGACCCACATGAAGTGTGACGGGCAATAAAAAATCAACTTGTAGGCTTCTGGGCTGGAGGATGCGGTAATCCCTTGGGCGGAAAGGATCGCGATGAACGTAAGCTGAACCTTTTGTAGGGTTGGGCACTTGCCCACAGCACAAAAAAGATGCTCTAATGTTGTGAACCCACACTTCCAGGTTTTTGGGACGAAGCAGGTTTGTCCTTCAAATTCCCCGATCTCAATCCTTTGGATTTTGCTGTATGAACGATCCTGGAGCAAAAAGCCTCTGTTTTCAAAAAAAAGTCTTTGGACCGTCTAAAAAAAGCTCTCTTGTAAAAGCGTGGGATGAAAGTGATTGCGCGCATTTTGGAAAACTTCCGAAAGAGGTTGGATGCTTGCATTAAAGCGAAATATGGTCATTCTGCATGCGAGATTTGATATGTTGTTTACAATTTTGTGATGATTGTATAGGAGTAAATATCTCCTATTTGGTTTGAATTGTATAATTTTGATGCTAGTTTTCTGNTTTTGGGACGAAGCAGGTTTGTCCTTCAAATTCCCCGATCTCAATCCTTTGGATTTTGCTGTATGAACGATCCTGGAGCAAAAAGCCTCTGTTTTCAAAAAAAAGTCTTTGGACCGTCTAAAAAAAGCTCTCTTGTAAAAGCGTGGGATGAAAGTGATTGCGCGCATTTTGGAAAACTTCCGAAAGAGGTTGGATGCTTGCATTAAAGCGAAATATGGTCATTCTGCATGCGAGATTTGATATGTTGTTTACAATTTTGTGATGATTGTATAGGAGTAAATATCTCCTATTTGGTTTGAATTGTATAATTTTGATGCTAGTTTTCTGCGTCACACCTCATGTGGGTCACCCTGTATATGGCATAAACGAGATCGATACTTGCTTCCATTTTGCATGGACGCTTTAGAGCTTCTTGCATTTAGCAGCTACCTGGTGAACTGAGCCCATCTGCTTCTGTTGGATCGTTATTGCTTGAGAGAGAGCGATCACAGGTGCTTGCATTCACCGTGATCTCATAGTTTTGGGTGTGATAGGCTCCTCTACAAACATCCCTTTTCCGTATGTGATAGCTCCAATTATTGTCTTTGCAATATGAAGGGGCGGGCGTTCTTGAGGACGTTCTCGTCATGGAGTCTTGACCAAATATATTAATCCAAGGTAAAGATTTGAAAGGTGATAATGTGGTGTTCCCCTCGAGTCTTTGACTTTGCCGAGCAGATAGTGTTTCCTTTCAAAATATCAATTTAATGTTTGTCAATCTGACGATGGACAACCCGATGGTAAACACTGGTTTCGTTTGAATTCTCAGGTCGAGTTCTTTTCCAAACGTCATGCTCGCAGTCACCACGTGACTTTCGAAACGGTCGGTGTGTCTACCCATACCTGACATTGTGCATATTTCACTTGTGGACTTAGGGAAATTGGATTTTAAGCGAGTCCTTCTTCTATGTATGACGGTCTTTTGGGTTTTAGCGTCGAAGAAAAAAAAGTACTTTATCGTACTTCTGCCATCTGTAATTCCACAGATTTCCTTCAGCTTCCACTAAGACTAGCTGCGAACTTGCCCGATTTTGCTCATCAGCAAGTGGCACGGTGTTTTCTGTTTCCGCATGAGTGTTAGTGTTTGGAAAAACCTAAAGTCATTCTGGTTTCTTTGAACGTTGAAATGTTTCTGTATTGTTCACCTTGAGGTTCAGAGGAAAGTCCATTTCAAGTACTTCCCTCTGAGCCTCAAGTAATCAATACAGGAATCACTTCACCGAACGGAATCGTCTCTGGGTACCGAAATCCTTCCTGCATTTGTTTTGATTTGTTCGGACTACATGACCTTTTTGACGCACAACGATACGTGATGATTTCGACGACATCGCGTGCAGGTTGCTTTTCGTCATTCAAAATTGTTATGGTTGGATGAGTATCACTTCCCACACCTATTCTCATCCGTTGCTATTTTCCGGCGATGGCTTTGTAATGGTTGTACATGCAAACGATATACTGCTATGGCTGAAAATGCACTTATCGTTAATTTGGAGGCACGAGTTGTTATTATGCCCTTGAACAACGGAACTTCTCCCCGATTTCCACGTTCGCTTTGCGGCATGCGACGAATCTTTTTGATTGTCCCGCGGCTCCAAACTGCGATTACAGTACTCGTCTCGCCTCCTCGCCAATCGAAAGACGCGACATTCTTCGTTGACTGCGTTTCTTTTTTTGCTTAGTTTCGATTGTTTTTCCTGTTGCTTTTTCATTTTTATGTTCATTAGACTTGTTTGAAATGATTCACCCTATACATCGACGATCAAGACCGCATTGGATCTAAAGGAAGGGGCCAGCGAATTCGATTAATTAAAGGACTCCCCAACTCACAAATTGCGCGCTTCAATCTTCCATCGCATTTCTGCGATATGCGGCAGAGCGGCGAGCGCGACACAGTGTTCGGGGAGAAGATACTAGACCCAATGCCCTTCGAGAGATTTATTACTTATGGCATGACCCAGCCTACCCTCGTATTGTTTAGTGGCAATCTCCCTCTTTAATTGAACCATCATATCTTCCGTTGTGAAACTATCTTGCGATTGCCTCTGTATCAGAACAGGTTTTACGATATCCTGTGGGAATTTTGTTAGAATGGTTTCGCACCATGTTGGATCACAGGTTTCTCTTACGTCGTAGCCTGCTGATATCATTTGATGTGCCAAAATTTGTATTGGTCGAAATTTGTTGAGCAACATTCTATCGAGTTCCCAAATGACCTCAAATCTACCAATTTCCAGAGTATTGAGCCCTATTCACGGAAAGGTTACTATAATTACTTTGGAAAGTTTGACTAACCAGATGTAATTTTCTGGCACTAGTCTTATTCTCTCGAGAAGTTTTGGGCTTTCCCCATCGAGCTTTCCGTCAGCGACAAATTTTTTTCCATTACGTCAAGCTTGTCACTTTTATGGAACAGTGTTTCAGAAACTGCCCAGAACTCTGGGAAGTTTTCGGCTTCCCCGTAAAACTTCGGTTCTTGGTCTGCGACCGCACTGCGTAACCTATTTGCAGGCGGTGGGTGGTCTCCCCCTTTTAGGAAGAGCTCTTGTAGCCTTTGGGCTTTCCTCGTTTTGTAGCCTAATTTGGCGTCTAATCTGTCCCTTGCGCACTGTCCTTCATCAAGGCATCAGCGAGCATAATACCAACCTCGTCCGTAGCGGCCACTATGGGGTGAAGATTTGATCCTTTCACCATTTCCTCTATTCCGAACGTTACTTCCTTCCTATCAGCATTATTTTTACAAATTTTGAACTCCTCTCTGATCTCGCTACACAGTCTTTGGAGTTCTACCGTTCCTACGCTTAATTGCCTAATGCCACTCTCATGTAGCGCTATTGCAGACCTACGTTGCTCGCAGGTCTCTTCAGCGATCGATGGGAAATCTACATTCGTCGTATATTCTCTATAGCGCATGACCAAATTCTCAGGCGTCGTAGCTACAGATGATCGGCCTTTTGTGGAAGTATGGCGACATTGCTCTATTTGAATATTTAGTTTACTTACAAGGGAAGGATACTCGGTCGCAGTGGCCATTGGCTGCTTTCATAGTCCACGATATGGCCCGCGATCGATCGCGCGATCGGCCGCTGCGACTAGTCGCGCGTTCGGCCGCTGCGACTAGTCGCGCGATCGGCCGCTGCGACTAGTCGCGCGATCGGCCGCTGCGACTAGTCGCGCGATCGGCCGCTGCGACTAGTCGCGCGATCGGTCGCGGGCCAAATCGTGGACTATGAAAGCAGCCATTCAAGTTGAGGTGTTTACCGCCTTGGGTTGTTCCCAACGCTGATCTCAAATCTGTAAAACGATTCTGGAAACAATGTTACTTTTGGGACCAGTTCCTCCCTGTGTTATACCACTGCAATGAACGGAACACCGAGCCGAGCAAAACCCTTATCTGTGCAACGGTGGGCTAGCGGCTAGTGTGGTGGACTGGTAGGCATGACATCAAGGTTCGATTTATTGATGCATAAGCTCGTTTTGCTTCTCCATAAAGTGTGTATTAACACGTTGACGACAGCGCGGGACTTATATGTCCCGCGTTTTGCAGGCCACGTGGGACAACGCGGGACACATGTGTCCCGCGCTCATTTTGCAATTTTTTTAAGCGCATGCGTGGGTTATCAAAATGTTTTTTGTGTTTATATTACAGATCAAACACTAACAGAGCTATAAACATAGTGGTCCCCGAAATGATCAGATATGCTTCATTTTTGCACAGGTTTTCTGAGTCTCACAAAATTCTTCTTCGGCATTTATATTGAGATCAACAAGCGAGTAAAAATGAAATCATTGGAAGCAGGCTATTGAAAGCAAGTTAGTATAATAGCCATTGACGGAATGTTTTCTCATTTCATCAGCGCTTATTCTCACTGAAATTCTTCATTTTGTCGAACCCTGTAGCTATTGGTTTCTCTAACGATGAGGTTCAGAATCTCTCTATTCAGAAACAGTTCGTAGAAGTCTGTTGGTACCTGACATGATAAACAATATCATGTAAGCCGGGACACCACTAAAAGTCCAAGCATCGTGCGGCGAAGCATCGCTTAACCACGACGAAATGCTTTCACTATAGGATTGTTCTTCTTCTGATTTAGATTCCACACCTTCATCCATATCATCTACTTCTTCTTCAGTAGCTCCTTGCTCTCCGTCGTCCGAATTCGCTCACCCTCTGGTAATCTGCATGTCCTCACTTCGCACTTCGGTGTCGGAGGATGGTCGAGTTGTAGAGCATCTTCTAAGTTTTCTTCTATTCCAGCCATTTGTATGTCCGTATAAGCATTTGTTAGAGTGGATAATTATTATGTAGAACACTTTTGTGTGCTTTTCATTTTATTAATCAACTTACTAGGTAGCGATAAGTAGTTAAATGTAGGTTTCACACTCAAGCTTCGAAAAGCGCGCCTCAAGGGACAGCGCGGGACATATGTGTCCCGCGGTCGGCGCGTTCGCAAAATTGCGTCTGTCCCACGCGGCCAAAAATGTCCAAACGTGCCTTGTCGTCAACGTGTTAAACGCTTGTAAAACGTATTTGGGCTCAATATTGGCCATCTAAAGAGGGGAATGAACAGAAGGGGAATTCTAAACAGTCGCTCAAAATGAGCTTCAGAGGCTTCAAGATGGTTCCAAATGATTCATCGGATCAAACGCTCTTCGGCATGTTACCAGCGAAATATTTTGGCCGAAGGTGGTGCCATAACATTTGATGAAGGACTTTTGTTCTTGCAGCGTAACGTGGGCGCCATCTACGAAAAGGCGGTAGTAAGGTACTTTCGAACCGTTCTGCTCGATGCTATGACACAAACCCGTTTTCCCCTGCGAGGAAGCCGTGTCCGTAAAAGACGATCACAATGATCCTCTGCGGTTGTCTGATGATGACAGCAACGATGGATCCGCAACTTCGCGAAAGAAACCTCGTACGCTTGTGGGAAAGTGGGGTTCGGAAGTGAAACGTAGCCTTCAACTTGCTTGCTGTCCTTTTGAGCTTTCAACACTGTGAGGGGTAGGATGGATCAATTTCCCACATCTGAAAGATGAGAAAGCCCATAATTGATCGTTTTATCTTTTGCCTGACGAACGAAGCGACCAGAGGGCCTGCTATATGGGTCACAGCAATGAGACAAAGGGTAGTTGTGAGGGCATTGTCCATGGTTCCCTAAGGAACCTTTGTAATTGCTTTATACATGGATTGAATTCCATTGAGCTAATATATTCTTGAGCGGCCTACTGATACTCCCTTGGTTTCGTAAAGGTGGTTCCATGTCGCTTTGGCGAAGTCGATATATGCCTCTATTGCGCATTCACCCCTTAGACATTTTTGGTCTTTTTTCCACAATATTTCCGCAATAATCGACGATAGGTTTTCTTAATTTACTTTTGCTTTGTGAACTTAACCTGTTTTTTGCTGTCACGTTATTATCAAGCAGGGATAATATGTGCCCACAATAGCCGTCATCTCGCAGAATGTCTTGGGTTTGGTAGCTTCGTCTACAAAGAACTCTTAGCCGTACAAAGTAAGCCCATATAGTCTTCGCAAGATGAAGTCCTGTGGGGCTTTTTCCCATGGAGTCCTGGCTCAATATCAATTCATGGTAAAGGTCTAACCCTACTAAAGCCCCGAGGGCGTCTACCCTCGGGGCTTTGAGTTTGCTAAGCAGATATTGTTTACTTTCAAAAAAGTCACTGTCCGCATTTGTCAGTCTGACGCTGGGAAATCCGTGGTAAGCACGGGTCATGTTTGAATTCTTAGGTCGCGTTTTTCTCCGAATGCAGTGCATTCTTTTGCAGTCACTACGGAACTTTCGAAACTGCCTGTGTGTGCCCACCGATACCCGACATAGTGCAGATCTCGGTCGTAGACCTTGGCAAATTAAATTGCTCAGCTATTCGCTGTTCTATGAAGGTCTTTTGGGCCCCAGAGTCGAATAGGAATAGCACTTTTCCGTACTTTTCCTTCCTGTAGTTCCAAAGATCCCCAGTCATCAAAACTAGCTGAGAACATGTCTGGTTTTGCTCACTGGCTAGTGGACACTGTTACCTAGTGTCATATGTGTGTTAAGGTTCAAAAAATTCTTGGAATCGTTTTGGTTCCTTTGCGCCCTATAATGATCCCTGAGCTGATTGCCGTGAGGCCTAGAGAAAGGTTCATCTCGAAAACATTCCTGATTACGATTACGGCCAAGGAAATTCTTCCTGTCTTTACCTTGATTTCGGTGCCAAAGATGGATTTGATTTGCCCTCGACCATGACCTTTTTTGACACACAACGAAACGTGATGATTTTGTCCACATCGCGTGCAGTTGGCTTCATGGCATTTAAAACAACTATGGTTGGGTGAGAAGCACTTCCAACATCTATTCTCTTGCATTGTCATTTTTCGGCGACGGCTTTGATCCGTCATCGCTCTACAGCTTAGTGATGAGTGGTTGCTCCCATGGCAGAAAATGCACTTATCGCTGTATTGGGGTCGTGGATGATTAGCCTCAGTAGCCCCGTTGGGTTTATCAGCGTAGCCTGACCTACACTCAACATATTGTTTCACACTAATCTCTCCCTCTAACTGGGTCATTAAATCCTCAATTGTTTGTTGGTCTTTCGATTGACCATTTATTACTACGGGCTTTACTATGTCCCGCGGGAACTTTGCCAGTATTTTTTCACACCGTATTGGCTCGCATGTTTTGCACTCGTCATACCCTGCGGAAATCATTTGCTCCACTAGCACCTGAATGTTATCGAATACATCTGAGCAACTTTCAGCTGATGTGTGTAGTAGCAGGCTTCATAATGATTAGCTTTAGGACGATTTGCGCTCTATTTGCGGGTTGATTGAAATAATTCCTGTGTAGGGTTTCGATAATAATAAGTTATAGTTATCTGGAACCAGCCTTATGCCCTTGATTGAATTTTGGGCTTTACCTACTAAACTCTCTCTGAGTAATAGGATTTTTTCCATTGTGTCCAAATCAGAACAGTTGTATAGAAGTGTCTCGAAGATTGCCCAGTATTCTGGGAAATTTTCAGCACTACCGTGAAATTTCGGCAGCGACACTTGCGGGAGCTTTACAGAGCGATAGATCTTTTGCGGCATTGTTTGCGCTATACTTCCGCTATGTGCAATTTCTTCAGAACGGACAAACAATGCAGCTATCTGTCGTACATTGCCGATCGTAGAGTCCATTGCAGAAGACGTTTGATATTGTCGGCTGGTACGTTTATCAAGACGAAATTGAGCCAAATCTGCTCGTGCAGTGCATTGTCGGATTTCTGCGCTTATTTTTGTTCAAAGCACTCATGTTTGCAATCTCACATGCTAGCTTACGCTCGCGTTCCCTTCGCCTGTACACACTCCTAACTATTCTGTACCTGCTACGAAAGGGTGTGGTGCGATTCACGCGCCAATATAATGAGGTCATCGGACAAAACCCGCTAAAACATCATTCCTACCATCATAACGGAAGTTATAAGAACTTATAAGTAGAATAAGTAAAGAAAAGACCAACTATGCACGTTTACAGATGGATTGCATTTACTAGGATCGAAAAAATTGAAGTTATTCTCATTTTGAACGTTTGACTAGTAAATTGTTGACCTATGAGGTGAATTCTCAGTCTCGAAGGGGCTTTTTTGCCATAGTAAAGAGATTTG